ATAAAATGGTTAGTTTAAATTATAAATAAAAAAATCTAGAAAAAAAATATTATAATATTATATGAAATAGTCGAGCTTATCTTTTATAAACCTAAATCCATCAATATTTCTTGAGGAATATTATTCCAATATTGCTCCAATGCAGATAGATAAGCCAGAATTTGACAATCCTCAATTGCCCATGTCATTACTCGGTTATTTAATATCCATCTCTTGGAGTCAAGTAGGTTGATACTCCTTTTTGTCTAGCAGATTATATATGGAACGAAACGTTCATATCGCAAAAAGTTTGTAGTTCAGGGTTCATTCTTCACACTTTCTAAAATACAATGCTCATAAATATCAATAGTTAGTTCTTTTTTGACGAGAGATTTTTTGAGACCCTTTGCCTTCTGTATATTTTTATACTCATCTTCAGTTTCCAATGCATAAGACTTTGATCGGTTTCTAGCATATCTTAATGCTTGAGTTCCTGCAAACTCATCTTTCTATTTCTCGATCACTTTCTTATTTTTTAGCTCACATGAACTATTGGGAAGACATACCCATTAATCTGGAGGAAGTTTTTCAAGTAATAGGTGGTCTTCAGGATAATCACTGAAATCATAGAGCTCTGCATCTTCGATCATGTCAACATAGATGTCTTTAGTCTCAATTTCGATAATTAGTGAGTCTGTATCGGTATAACATAATTTTGTATGATCTCCATACTTATGCTTGATATGATTATACCAGAAATCATACATATAATATTTACTAAGATCTAAACCGAAGCCTTGATATAGATTGGCTTGTTAAGTATAATATTCGTTAGCCTCCGATGGACTGCTATAAGATTACTTCCATGAAATATTTTATATCCAACTAGTGCCAGGTCTGCCAACATTTTACGAAGTTGATGCTCCTCTCCTATTGGTCGTACTAAATCTACTCGTGTGCGATGCCAAACATCCTCTATAGTTTTTCCGAATACTGCATTGTTCATTAATTTCTATAGATCTCTTTTGAATGCATTTTTTACATCACGACGCTGTATAATATTTGCTATAATATATGGTTCGAGCCAAGGAGATTGATTAAACTCTAATACATGGTATATATGCTCAAGTTCCATTCCTAGTTCAAGACACTGTTGGAGATTTCGGTAATGAATAATATAGCGATCTTTAGTCTCTAAAGTTGCTACCAATTTTTCTGTTTCTGCAAATTTTCCACTGCTCAGTTTATCAATTAGGTCATTATTTTGGTATAGACTAAGCTTACTTCGCTTAACTACCCGATGTTCTGGGCAGAGCAGATAGTTACTATGTGTTGGGTGAAGATTTTCTGAATATCTTAATTTTACTTCCCAAGCACTGTCTCGTTTTGCAGTTGGTGAAATAAACCGTATATCGGGCAAGTTGTTTGTGTCAAGCTATCTAAATCCTCCTGTTGGCAAATATTGAGACATAGCCCATCTATATAAATTATTAGCATCTAGATAAAGAAGCCATTTGTTGGCTTTTCACTTATCATAACCTT